TAAAGGGGTTGCCGCACCATGGTCCTTGGTGCTGCTGAAAGGGTGAGGGGCCATTTAGTATCTCCATCTTTGTAGGACCAGAGTTGGACTGAGCACCTCCTCCACCTCTCCCAGCCTCTGGTCCACATCCCAGCATCCTCCCAGTGAAGCCCCCAGTGCCTCAGGGAGCCAGGAGTGTATGCCTGGGGCTCTTGTGACATGGATGGGGCCAGACACCGGGTTCTGACCTCTTTCAGCTGCAACCAGCCTGAGACCAGCCTGTCCTCACCTCTGCTGGGCCAGCAGTGGGGAGCAAAGGGGAGGCGGAGGAGCATCCATCCCCCCGCGCCGGTGCCAGGGCTCGGTGCCTGCAGGAAAGAGCTGGTGATGCCAACCTATCCTCCAGGCCTCCTTGCCCAGAGGGTCTGAAAGGCACCAGGATGCTCGTAGAGAGGAGAGGAAGGAGTGTTTCTTATTTGTGACACTGGGCCAGGGAGGAAGGGCAGCAGGAGGCTGAATCCAAACAAACAAACAACAAGGCGGCCATGCCGTGCTCCTTGCGCAACCACCGCCTTGGAGGGGGAGCCGAGCTGGGCTGAGGCATCCAAGCGGAGAGGGAGGGATGTGGAGGACGTGCCGGGAGCTGGCAGCAGCGCATGGTCCCCTGGCAGCAGTGCCAGGGCTGGGCAGGCACCCTTCCCATGGGGCGGCACGGCAGTGGGAAAGGGGGTCTCGACTCCAAATTTACTTACCCCTTCTCCAGACGGAGTTAAGAAAGCACCAGGCGCGGAAGGGTTAAGAGTGCCATGCCGGTTAGACAAGCCACGGAGATGTTTTTGGCAGCTGGGCCAGGGGCAAAAGGGACCTGCCCTGGGTACCGGACAGATCAGAGAGTGGCATCGAGACAGGGTGCCCGTCGGGGCGGCGCGGCCAGTGCAGCCTCACGCGGCCACTTGCTCCGAGCCGGCTCTTCCCTCTGTCTGGTTGTCGGCTCTATCTGCAGCTGCACCGAAAGCAGAGGGGAAGGAGGAGAGCAGAGAGAGAAAGCCCAATTAGTAGATGAGCAGAGAGAGGCATGCAGGAAACCCAGCCCCCAAAACACCAGAAATCGTTAATGAGCGCCCGGCCAGCCGTGCCAGGGTGCCACGGATGCCGGCAGTGCCATGGCCGCGCTGGACACTCGTTTGCTCTGCTCAGCCGGGGCGACCTGGGGACAGCAACAGGGAGAAGCTGTCACAGGGTTGAGTTCAGCCTCGCCAGGCCACGGAGCTGGATTTTATCCACCTTGGCTGAGAAGTTTTCTATTTTCTGCATTGCTTTCTAAAACCGTTTTTGCTCATGCCCTGCCTCTCCCAGACATCCTGGGGAGGTGGGAGGCATTGCAGTTTGGAGGCCTGAATTGCCCATTTAGGGGCTTCTTGGCTTTCCAAAAAAAGTCTTAGAAATTTAGTGTAGTGAGTCATATCACACAAGAAAGGACCAATTCCAGCCTGGCTGGAATAATGCAGGTTATCATTTCAATTTTCTCCAAAAAATAATACTTTTGGGTGTCAAAAATATTTACCTAGATTTTTGTTCTTTTTCTTTATTAGGCAACACCAGTTTTTATCTGATCTTTTCTCAAGCTGGATAAAATCAGTGGGAGACTGTGGTACTGAGACTGGTAGGAGTGGGGAGTTCCTTGGTCGGGCAGAGGCATCACTGACCCCACATTTTCTAACGAGCCCTTTCAGATATGAATCTATTTAGCAGGTCTGAGAGCCTCCCATTTTCCATTGTGAGTGAGAAAACATGAATTAAACTCCAGAAATACTCTTCTAAGGTAAGATCCACAATATCATTAAAAGAAAAAGGATCTGCCCAGATGGGGAGAGCCTGGATCCCAACATCCCTTGACAGCATCTCGTCCTGCCTCTCCTGGAAGGTCTTGGGACCTTCTCTGAGTGTGTTTGCTGCTTTTCTCCTCTCTGGGCCAGCCTTACAGCAGACTGAGCAGCAGTGAGAGCCCCCCCCCCCCCCCCCCCCCCCCCCCGAGGGCTGGGGGTGCTTGGAGGAAAGGGAAAAGTTATTATCACGTACATCTCCTAAGCCTGAGCTGAGAGAGGAGCTGGGTTAGATGAAAGAAGACATGAGGCAAATCATCACCCGTCCTTTCAAATGGCATCTCCTTTCTCCTCCTATTTTCTCCCATTTTAAAATTTCTAAATATCTGGGCGATTTTTCTTTCCCTTTTCACTTAGCTGAGCAGTGCCCAGGTTAGTATCTGGGCCCTCTCTAATGCCCTGGGTCTTAGTAGCCTGCATTGGGAAGGAAATTTGGATCAGGAACCAGATTATCCCAAACTGTCCCAGATTTATCCAACACAGCCAGCTCTCAAGAGCCAGAGTTGCTCTTTCTTTGACAGGGAGACAGCAAAGCAGCTCGCAAATCAAGTTATATGAGTAATCTAAATAAAAGCACCAACCTCCTGCTTGTGGCATTTGGAGCGAGCCCCGTTACGTTATCCAAGAACAAGCCAAAAGAGCTTTGCAGAGTTACGTAGCCTCTCTGGCTGAGCTTGTGTTTCTGAGTAAGGAACTCCGCTCTGGCAGGGCAGCTCCCTTTAGCATGA